ACACTGGAGAGGTACCGCAACAAGAGCCACCCGCTTCTGACTCGTCATCTTATCATCACCGAAGGGACCCAAGAAGCAAGGCCACTGTCACCTGCACTACAATCCAGCCGGAAGGCTTTAAATTGTGTTTCACTCCTCCACCCATTTATTCACAAATAAATGCAAGCTTCATGCACATCAGTCAGACACCCTGTAATCTGATCTGCTCTAAGACTTCAACTTTTACATCTGAAATAGATTATCTAGCAATTACTATCAAAAGTAACCGTGTACTAAACAAAAAGCTTCTACACAGTAGAATTATCAAAAATATTAACTGCCCTCCCCAAGTGCTGCATTACGAGGCTAAATTTTTGAACTAAAGACAAGTATGCACGGAGGGGTTTTTTTAAACGGTGTTTGAATCCCGCACTTCCTCACTGTGCCATCACATTCAACTTGCTCTACTCACCGACGCACTGCTAAACCTCCCAGAAGCTTGTACCGCAGGGACTCTGCCTGGGCGATTGCGCACAAACCTCTCGTGGCCACCTTCTCAGCATAGAGCTACAAAGGAGAAGAAGTAAACTCAGAAACAGGGCTGTATTTCAAGATATTTTTAAATTAACAGAACACAGGAGCTTCATAGTACTCTCTGCCCTGTCCTCTACACCCAGTTCAGTTAGTCCTTCCACATATACATGCAGAAGCTTTATCCTTGGACACTGCACTCCTTTAACTCCTTTGGTGTCTGTCTCCAACTCCTAGCAGAGCTGAGACTCACTGGTGACACTCCACCGAGCGTCAGGACTCTTAAAACATGCATGGTACTGTCTCAAAGAGCTGCTGCTTCAAACAGCCCCAAAACATGAGGCATCACTGGAGAGGTAACCAGACAATCACAAGAACTTTGCCTGAGACACAGTTTTTACAAACACATCAGTTACTTAAGTCCACTTAAGTATTAAAACCAAACCTAAGAAAAGGTTTGGGTTTTGTAAGCTGGGAGAGTGAGGTGTATCAGAGAGACCAAATTCTGACACTTCAGAAGAAGACGAGGTTCAAAATCATGCACATGATATTCTTAGAGCCAACAAATCATGATGTGCTCTGTGAGGGTTTGTGCCATTCAGTATGTTTAAGCATTTTTTGGAGATAATCAGCAATCTTCACTGTATGTGATCCAGCAACACGGGGCAAGCAGGAATAAATGTGAGCACCACCCCAGACCACACATTCTCCCCGCCCCCTAATTTATTTTAGAGGGAGTACTAGTAATGACATCAGACTTCAAATAATAAAAGATCAGAAATTACTGATGTGTCTCTCTAATGTCTATTTCATTACAGTATCATACTCAAAAATCTCAAAGATCCTCCTGCACCGAAACAGTTTCTTTATAAGGACAGAAACATTATGAATTTAGTAAAGGCAATGGTAACACACGAATGCTGTTAAACTAGCTTCTCACCTCAATCTTGGGACAGCAACATTCCCTATAAAATATTTACAGGTAAGTTTAAAAAGTTTTATCTGCATCCTCCTTGTTGGGAATTCCAAGAGAAAAGCAGCTGAAGTGACAGCATCAAAATACCACAAACAGCAAAGCTGTTATCAAGTCAAACCACCTTTCAGCTGACACCATCCAGAAAGTGCGCAAAGCTAACTGTGCAATCCACTTACTACTGCTTTAACCAAGGCAGTTTTACCTCAACATTTCCCTCAGGGAATCCAAACCTCTTCTGCACGACAGCCGTCAGCTCCCGGATGCGGCGCCCCTTCTCACCCAGGACATTCTGAGTTCTGGAAAAAAAAAGTACAGGATGACTGAGAAAAGCATCTCCAGGTCTAAGGCTGCAAACATCCTAAAGAGCTTCCAGACTGAGCATCTAATGTAGTTCAGGGGTTGTAACACTGAAGATCACTTCAGGATCTCTTTCCCAAGTAGCCTCCTGTAATAATATTGACCACTTGAAGCTTCAGCCTGCAGGAGCATTCCTTACAGCCTTGCACAGCACCTGCGAGTCAACAGCAGCATCTCATTACCTGGTGGCAAGTATGATAATCTCAGTCCTGGTTGGAGTGACCCGGACTTCTACTCCGGAGTACCCATCTTCAGCCAGTTCACGAGTCAGAAACTCATTCAGCTCAGCTTTGAAGATACCGTCAGCGACAAACTGAAAAAGGAAACAGACCGAGTTAAGCTCTGTTCAAGTGCTCAGCCTCAACACAAGATCTTCATGTTCTGAGTTTGGGTGCGATTCACGCTTGGGACCATCCTGCAGCCTGGCCCTCTCTCCCCCCTCGGAGGGGAAGGAGCAGTGGCAAGAAATAAAAGCATCTCCCCTTGAGTTCCCAGAGACAAATCACTTCTAGCAGGAGCCTACGCCACTGCCTGATCCACGCCTCGCTACAGCCACACTTCATGCTGAAGGCTGAAAGCATAGCTCACCACTAGGTCTTGAGGTGGTAGTTTTGCTATGAATTGAGATTAAATATTTAAGAGGGGTCACATCCCTTTACCAGCCCCACGGGGGCCTGCTGCAAGGGTTCCCACTTCCACCCTGACAGCGCACAGGCCCCGAGCCTCCCTCCCGCTCCCAGACAGGCAGAGCCCTGCGCCCTCCCGGCCCCTCTGACCCACAGAAGCACGGAGTGACTAAACCCAAACTTTCCACTCAGGAAAAAAAGAAAAAAAAAAAGGAAAAACCAGTCAAGTTCACCAGCTCCCAGCCCTGCTCTGTCCCTCCGCGCAACCCCAGCCTGCCTCCTCTGTGCACACAAG